AATGAGCATGTACTATGTGCCAGGCCCTTTTCTAGGTGCTGGGGAGTGCATTAGATAAGGCAAGTCAATGCGTGTTGTCATAAAGATCTGATGTTGTTACAGGATGGCAGGAGCATTGCAAGAGGATGAAGACGGAGGTGGAGATGCCTTTCACGGCTCAGACTTCAGAACTCACACATACGTATGTTCTACTGGACAAAGCAAATCACAAGGCCAGCCCCAACTCAAGCCTGGGAAAAGAGACCCTACCTCCACATCTGGTTCATCTAGTATCCTGAACAATGAGGCACCTGCACTCTCCCATGACACTGAAGATTAAGACGGAGATAACTAAGCCAAACTTTTTTTCAGTTTATTTTAAGGTGTGATAACATGAACATTGACCCCTGTAATGCCGTGCTACAATTAAAGAAGCTAACATATTTGAAAGAGCTATAGATACCTCTTCCCACGTCACTCACAAGGAAATGCTATTCAAATTATAGTCACTGAGTGTTAAAGATGAAGGGTTCCATGTATATCACCTGTACCATCCATCATTTTACTGATGAGAAAATAAGACATAGAGAAATGAAGTAATTTTCCCAAAGTCACAAAGTTAATGACAAAGCCAAGATTTCTGACTCTGAACTGTGTGCTCTTTGTATTACATCATGTTGACTCTGAAGTTTTATTATCGCTGAGATTAAAGTGAATTAATAACTATGTTACTTATTGCCAGAATCATGTTATTGAGAGACGGTTTACAGCAACGCTTAAGAGTTCAGTTTCTTATCTTAGGCTGTCTGGGTTTAAAATCTGCTCTGCCATGAACTGTATGATCAACTCTATAGATTATACCAGGCAAGAAATGTAGCTTTTCTAAACTGGAATCCTCCTGGGTGTGAAATGTTGATATTAACAGTACCCACCTTGTGGTTTTTTAATGAAGATCCAATAAGGCCTGTCATGCAGCACTGTGCCTGACACAGATTATGCTTATTGATGAGGATAATACTTATTTTAATAATAAAATTTCTGTTAAGGTGAAATTAGTGTATAGTGAAATGCTGAGATCTTAAGCGTATAATTTCATAAGTTTTGTCAGTGTATAAGACTATGTAGTAACTTTCCTAATTAAGATAGAGGATACTTAATTTACCCTACAAAGTTCTCTTGTACCTCAAAAATTATAGGCAAAATCCATGCTTATTTTAATCACATATAATTCTTCTGCTGCCCTTGAAGATAATACAAATGGCAGCATCACACAGTATGCACTAGTGTTTGCTTGGCTTTTTTTTTTGCTTAACATAATATTTAAAAATTTGACTATGTTGTTGAATGTATGTATATATATTATATGTTTATATGTGCGTGTATTTGCATAAGTTATTCATAACATTCTTGTTGAATAATATGTTTTTCCCATTGTCCAAAAATACCTTGGGATCTGATTATCTATTTTCTTATTGATGATATTTGGATATGTCAATACTGAATAAATCTTCCACAGAATTCTTTTTCTGGTGGCTCTTTCTCACCTGGGGGCTGTTCTCTGAAAAAAAAGTATTTTAATGTATTTTCTAAAAATTTTTAATGCATATAAGGTGGAACAAAAGTAGGTTTACAGTTTTTCATATGGAAAATAATATAATAATTAAGAATAATAATACAAGATTAAAGTTTGTTTTTCAGGTACTCATAGCTATATTTATTGCTGGCCACTTTTAATAAGACATGTTTATAAAACATTTAAATTACATTGTCCATTTGATAAATATGATGTTTGTATTTTCATTCTACATAATATATGTATATATATTTATTTATATTGTTTTTAAATATAAATTGTTTATTGTTGTAAAAACAACATAATTGTTTTATTGTATTTAAAATATGAAAAAGTAGGAAGACGAAAATTAACACTGATATCCTCTCATCCAACTAATTATCTTCAATATGTTGGAGGATTGTTTAGCAGATTATTATTCTCAGAAAAAAGTTTTATTTAAAATTTTAACTTGGTACTGCATCATCATCATCATCATCATCTTCTTCATCATTATTATTACTATTCCCAGGAGTGAATTATGAGGTCAAAATCTTGACCAGTTTGGTTTTTGATACCAGATCTTTTATCATTTGGGAAATTAAAATACATTACTTAGGTTCTGGTTTGGTAGTTACGAAGTAAGCTAATTATTCTGCAGATAACAATTATAACTAATGGACAGAATATTAAATAGCTAAAGGACTAGAAAGTTACCAAAAGCACATGAACGTGATGAAGATTTGGGCATAGAAAGAGAAAACTATACTGGATGAGATCTAAGATTTTGTAGCCTTCCCATGAGGACATGTAAAGGATGACCAACTTTTTTTTTCCATTCGCCTGAAACTTGACTGGTTTGGGTATGAAAAGTCCCACAGCCCAGTCTCACCCTCAATACCCGCAGTGCAGGCTGGCTCGAATCAGCAGAAGGCAGCCATCTGATTGGCTGGAGTTTTCAGAGTGTGGGGCTGCCAGAGAAGCTCAGACTGAAGGGGGAAGTCCCAGAAACAAAGTAACAACAAAGAGCTAAAACTCCACATTCACAGGCAAACTTCTCTTAGATGTTTGTTTCTGGCTGGAAGGAGGGAAGACACCAAGAAGCCCTAAAACAAAGCAAAACTGAAATACTCAAAAAGCTGAGCCAACATTTCAGCCACCACTCATTGCAAAAAATACTGAGTTTGGAGTTTGAAGTCCACCAGTCTTGATAAGCAATTCAGACTTCCCTAGAAGGAAAGGGCTTAGGGTTCCTAAAACCCTAGAAGGAAAACAACCCTTCTCTGTTTTAGAACTAAGAATTTGCTGGAAGCCTAAGGGCAAAACTGAAAGTAACATGAAAGCAGTATAAAACTAATCCTGCACAAGATTAGGGTGATTAGTCAATGATTTAACTCCTGTTGGAACAAGTATTGACATTCTTCAGAGGAATATTGAAAATCAGAGTGTTGATAATATATAATGTATGTAATACATGGTAAAAAGAATGAGATATACAAAGTGCAGCATAATAAGACACTTTGAAAAATAGCAGTCGAGCCCTGGCTGGTGTAGCTCAGTGGATTCAGCTCAGGCTGTGAACCAAAATGTCACAGGTTCGATTCCCAGTCAGGGTACATGCCTGGGTTGCAGGCCATGACCCCCAGGCAACTGCACACTGATGTTTCTCTCTCTCTACTCCCTCCCTTCCCTCTCTAAAAATAAATAAATAAAATCTTTAAAAAATAGCAGTTGATATAAACCAATCAAACCTGAAATGAAGTTAGCAAATAAAGACATTCAATTAGCTATTTTTAATAGTGTAAGTACTTAAAGGAAGAATGGTCATAATTTTTATATGATCAGTGAGTATACAGTAGGCAATTGCAGAGAATAAATGAATCACTTGCCTGATTCACAACCAGCCCATTTGTATAATTTATCTCATGCGGTCTTTATAGGTATGTGATTATATAATTACCTTGGCCTACAAAAATATGATAAACTATCTTCACTAAATATAAATATACAGCTGTAAGCCACCTAGTTGTTTTTGTTAAAAAAAATCAGAAATATAAAGAGGGCTAAATTTTCTCACAGTGCAGCAAGGAACAAGGAAATTACAAAGAAAGGGGTTTATATTTCTTTTGCCTCCAGTTCAATTATAATAGGAAGACATCAATTGACTACGGAAGGGAATGTTGTCGCTGCTTTTATTGGACTTTCCCTAACCCCATAAAATAACGGTCTGAGGTAGAATTCTGACGTCATGCAGGTGTCCGTTAGGCCTTTTTTGCTACGGAGTCAGAATGTGTCTCCTCGGCCTCTGTCGTGAGCAGAAGCCACCAGTAATTCTCTCTGCTTTTCTTGGGTATACCTTAGGGTTGGAGAGGGAGAGTAGGCCTCCCCCTGCCTGGTTCTATTCCTATGCCTCTTGGACCCCTTCTTCATGCTGCCTTCCTGGAGGACTCAGAGTATGTAGAAAAGTCCATGTTCGGATACAACCCCCCGTTGTGTTCCGGGAAAGGGTCCAGTGGGTTTTCTTCACCTGTATCGCTACGTGAACACCTTTGCTCTGGTCTTGACTCTGCAGAAACCTCGGAACACTCCTCCACCTTCTTCTCCGTGCTCAGTGAGTGGAGTTCCCCCTGTGGCGGATGAACTAGGTTCAAATAGAGGGATGTCTCTCATGTATCAGTATCCATGGTAACATTCTGTGCCAGAAGGAAGCATGCTAACACCACTCAGTCACCCCAGAAATTTTCAGGATTGTCATGAAGAAGAAATAAAAAATGTCAACTCTGCACAGCAAATAAAATTCCCTATATATTGTTAGATGTCCTCTCGACTCTCTCCCTTTGTCCAACTTCCCTTCTAAAAGCGCCCTTTGGTTCTGTGGTTTATATTCTTTACTAGGCAGCCATCTCCACACAACTGCATCCTTCAGCCTTCCAGCAGTTTGTGTCTTTACATTCTGAGAGCAGAACGGGGAGGAGTGCATCCTGGAGAACACAGAATTTCTTCCTGTCTTTTAAATCTGGCAGTGTTCCCCCCTCCAGTCAAACTGAAAAGCCATCAAAGCTGTTTTCGAATGGGATGGTTTTGCAGAGAGACGGCCCTGCCTCCCCTGCATGCTCTGCTCTCCCCTTTCCCACAATGTGATCATGATTTCTAAGGCTACGCGGTTTTAAATAAGGATTCTTGGCAGATCTGAGGAGGCAAACCTCCTGCCATTGGTGTAGAGTTTATGAGCTAGCTGGAGCATCTCCTGGCTTTCGTGGGGATGAAAGGCAGTCCTCGCGTGCCTGCGTGTGCAGTGAAGGGTTAAGAAGCACTGGAGAGACACCACGCATGTGTTAATTCGTGCTGCTGCGGCGTGCATCACTTCCACTTTGACCTCATAGTTATCACGTAGAGATTCTCGTGATTTTTCTATTTCTTTTAAATACACACACACATGCACACACACACACACACACACACACACACACACACACAGCCCTGCCCCCTCGAACAGAAAAATCAAAACAAATAAACCTACAGTGATGGACCTGGGGGAGTTTGTGTGAGTGTGCGAATGTGAGCGGCATGAGTGTGTGTACCAGCATGCACGCCTTTCTCTCCCCCTTATTTGTCTCTGTGTGTCTCTCCCTGAACCCTCCCCCTGCCTCAATTATATTATTCCCCCAGACGTGGAAGCTGCTCCCCGAGCTGACGCTTTGATGGTATCTGCAAGCCCGTGTGCTGATCCTATTTCTGCTCCCTGAATATTAATTCCTGAAGCGGGTAGCAATACATCTCCCCAGTGACGGGACCTACTAGAGGCAGGTGGGGGGAGCCACCATCAGATCATAAGCATAATAATAATACAAAGGGGAGGGATTCTTCTGCAACCGAGAGGCAAGAAGCAGAGGGGAAAAAAAAGCGATGAGTTTGCCAAATATATGGAGCACAGGAAGCTCAGTCTACAGGACTCCTGTATTTTCACAGAAAATGACGGCGTGGATCCTGCTCCTGCTATCGCTCTACCCAAGGTAAGATGTGCTGGTTTTGGCTTTGTTTTGTTCCAGAGAGGTGGGGGAAGGGGTGGGGATGTGGCATTAGGGAGACCACCCAGATGTAAAACACTCTTCTAGGATTTGGGGCTTTGTAATTTGGGGGAATGTGAATGTGCTGGGAGGAAAAAGGAGGGAGGAAAGAGGAAGGTCACTTTCATTTATTTATTAATGCATTCCATTGATTTGTTTTGTTTTAGAATGGAAAAGCTGTCAGTGAAAAGACTTTGTGTTTGAGGAGTAGCATTTTGATATTACTGCAAAATTATATCTGGGTGGGCTGTGCTGATACATGTGGGCATTTGAGGCCATGTTGGAGGCGTTTGGGGTGGGGGTCTGGAGGAGAAAACTGCAAATGAGGTCCCGGCGCACCCCCAGGAGAGATATGTTTGGGGGGAGGGGTTCTGTTCGCGTACATTAGAGTATTGCTTGCGCCTGCACTTTGGCGTTCATAAGATCAGTCAGCCAGGTTTTCTATCCAGCCCCATTGACCTGGCAGCGGGCTCTCTGATGGGCAAACATGGTTCAGCACCAGGGACAGCAGTTCTGCTTAGGGCCAAATGGGAAGAAGCTTGTCTAACCCTATAGGACACCCCTAAATTTACACAGGACATCCGTAGAGTGGGGATAGAAGGCCAAGAGAGCCAAGGAGCACTGATGACATCCAGGGGCCCTATTCTGATTAGTCCTACCCCCTCCTTGAGATGGGGGGGACTTTTGGGCATGGGTTTGGAGAACCTAGTTGCATGCATGGAGGAATACATGCCTGGGAAAGAGTTGGCCTTGATGCAGTGTTGAAAAACATGCTGAACCAGGGGAATGTGATGCAAAATTTGTGAAGTATGCTTCTGTGCCCTAGAGACTTGCTTCACTAAATAAAAAAGATGGGAAGAGGGGATAGATTCCCAAACCCTTGAGCAGGTGTGTGACCTGAAGCGCTCTGAACTTCCTTGGACAAAAGGAGTCAGAGGAATATTCCTCCAACTATAGTTCACCATTTATCCACCCACCTAAACAGTCCCCACCCCCAACGCACACCTCAGGGTTTCCAGCAAGAACCAAAGGCAGGTCAGAGATCCCCTATCTACATTACTTGAACTCTCCAATAGAGTCATTTTGAAATAAATCTCTATATTTAGGGTAATTCTACTCTCCCCCGACCAGAAAAGAAAAACTAGCTATAGAATATATCAAGCCATTGCCCTAAAATTTTTGTGGGAGTTGACACTTTTATGTAGTAGTTGTAACAAAGGGAGATAAAAGGTTAACTCTTATTTTGTTTTGTTAAAACTAACTAGTCAACTACTCCAATCCTTCATTCTTTAAGGGAGGTAATGGGAGGTGGCGATTTCTGATAAACAGACCCATGCAAAATAAGGAGTGAACGACTCTCCTGGAGTTTTTAAGCAGAGAAGGGATCTGCTTAATTCTTCCAGTATTTTTCATACTTTCCTCCTTCACTATAAAAATAGAGTACACTTTCATTAAGAATGTAAGATTAAGTAGATATCTTAGAAGAGGAGAGGTCCTTTTGATGGAAATGGTTTGTGTGCAAATACATTTTAGTGGGATCCTAGAAAACCATTTTTCTCTTCAAAATTTGCAGACATGTTTTCCTGTCCAATATGTGTAGTTCTTAACTTGTTTCACAGATGAGAGAGTTGATAGTTGCTTATGGGTAGAAAATATCATTCACATATTCCTACTATTTATGAAACCTGTGGATTAAAATCCAGATAAGACAGGGAAATATGTCTTTCCTTCCTACTCACCTCACATCCATCTTAGTAAACAATTTTGTAACTAAATAGGTGAGGACAGTCTTATGTATTTTATCTTAATGGTCTTACTTTCACCAAAAATGTGTGATTTTATTGTTATTCATGATAGTATCATATCTGAGTATCATACTCTTTTCAGGAGTCCCACATTTTTCTTTCGAATATCATCTAAAAAGTAAAACTTAAAAATACATTTTAATCTTCAATTCTTAGCATAGTAGCCTAGATGAATATTTTAAATAGCTCTAAATAATGGGACTTATGTGTCATAAACTCTCCAATGGGGAGATTTTCACATCTTCTCAGGAATGACAGAAACAAGTGGTAGTTCTGTGCAGAGAATATGATCGGAGCTTCAGTTCACTGCAATTCCATAAAAAAGCTATTTGCCTGGCCGAATCAGGCTGGGTGGAAATAGAAGCTTTGATCTGAAGTTGGTCCTAAAGAAGAACCACAAATTACAGAAAAATATGTGGGATCCTAGGAGGTAATCGGAAAGAGGTTTTCCAGGTAAACTGTGGCAGTACAAAGTTCAAGAGAAATTATAAAAAAAAAAACATTTAATTGACTTTTCCACTTACATAAGTCCAAAGAGAAAGTTTTCCCCATGATTAAATTGACTAAACTCATTAGGTTGTGTTTACAAAAAAGTAAAGCAAGGAGGAGTAGAAAGCACTGAAGTGAAGATATATAATAGCTAATGTCTCTTCTTGTGTGTGAAAGAGTTAATTTTGAAAACTCAAAATGATCTAAACTGTCACTTGCCTTGTGTACAGTGCTATCAAAGCATCACATGGAGAACTTGCTAAAATGGAGATTCCTGGACCACACACTGGAAGACTCGGAATCAGTATGTCCAGGGTGGAGCCCAGGAATGTGCATTTTCAACAAACACCCTGGACCTCACTTTGAAGAGAAGGGTGTATGCCTTGCTAACGTCCAGTTTTATTTATCACTGTATTTAATGTGTGCGGGCATTTTGATTATTGCTATTTTATTGAACAGCTGAGCACAGTGAGTTAATTTTATCTCAGAATTTTTTACTTGTATATAAATCATTGAGTGTATTATAGAAATCATAAAGGGTTAGGAATAGCTAAAAGAATTTTAATAAATCCTCTTCATATAAGAGAAAACATTGGTTGAAAAAAAGAGACTTCTCTCATTAAAGATATGTATGCCTGTGTATATAATCGTATTTTTAAATTATATATAATCCATGTGGAAATATTCATACATATAGGTTTTAAAACAAATTTCCTAATTTTATAAACTCTTTTGATATAACTACATTCCATTTCAGAGTAAAAATACCTTAAGGAGAAGAAACAAGGAGAGATACAAGAGAAAATGAGTAAATAGGAATATGTGCTAGAAGTAAAGATATTTTAATTTTTTCTTAAAATAAAATAAGATTTCATAGTATACTTCAAGGGATAAAGAATTAATTTTCAAGGACAGATTAGTAGAGATGAATCTGATGAAATTTGTGACAATCTAACCCTTACTCTGAAGTCCTAACACAACTTAAAATATACATTAAGACAAAAATTTGTAAATATATTTTTTTCTGTTCTTTTCAGGTAATTTTTCTCATGAGGTGCTGAAATTTTTTATCCCATAACTAGTTTTTTCGGAGTTTTAAACTTTTATAGGCTATGGGCATGCATGGAGGGCAGTATTATGACTCTCTATTATAACCCTGTTTGTTTACAGACTTAACCTCTGCAGACAAGTTTGTTCTTTCCTAGTGTTCCATCTGGTTTTATTTAGAAAAAAATCATTTCCTCAGCATATTTCATTGCTTAGTTGTAGACATAATATTGCAAATAGTCTATACTGAGGCAAATATCTCCATTAAAAAATCAAAAAGAAAGGCAGAAAGAAAAGAAAAAAGAAAAACTTATTACTAGATATTTTCCGGAATCCACCTGCCAACCACCCTCTAGACAAAACATCTGGATCTGAGGCAGGAGTTAAAAATTGGCTTTTAATTTAAATAATTAGTTACATAAATGCCTGCTTGGTATCTTAGACACATTTTAGAAGAACTAAGAGCTAATCTCCTCAAAATAATTCAATGACAGAATGCTTAATGATTGAGGTCTCCGTTTTAAAATATGCTTCATGCAAGGATTTCTTCTCCACCTGAAATGAAGACTAACTTTAGAGACTTTAGACTTTATTTTTGTTGTAAATATCACATTCCCAAGGTAGCTGTTATTCCTCACTGTTACAGTTTCCTAGCCATTCCAAGACAGACTTGCCACAGTTCAAGTACAACTGGAATTACACATAATTGTAGTTGAAGGGAGAAGAATTTGTCTTTTTGGTGTAAGGAATATTTTACACTGGTTATTTTTAAGAAACAGCATGCACAGGAGAAACTCAAAGTCAGTAGAAGTTACCCTTTTGAAATAGACATTCGCATTTACAAGGGCAATTTCCATTTGCAAGGGTGACTCCCTCCCACTAATAAACAGGTAGAGGGGTCTGGCTAAGTCTGTAGAAACCCTTATCAATGACGAAGGCAGGGCCTTATATCTCCATAATAACCATATCTTCAGTTTACTATGCTTTGCCTGATAGCCTTCCAAGTCTGCCTTCTCGCCAATGTCATCTTTTGTCTTCAGCTGAAGATGGTAATTAAGGTGGTGGACTGGGCATTCAAGGGAGTTGCGTGGTTTTCCTGGTTATTTTTCATGTATATGGGAGGTTATATATATTATCAAACTTCTGTTTGTTTTCCTCCTGTTAACTTCCCTTTTTTATTACAGACAAGAACCTAGAAAGTTAGAGAGAAAATTACTTTTCCTCCCCTGCATGGTTCTCCAAAGTACTTCTGCCAAATGCACAGATCGCAGAAGACTGGTTAAAAGTTCTAACCAGCACAGTTTAGGAATTGTTTGACCACCATGGGTGTCAGCACATTTTCAGCACTTAAAAATTCAGGATTTCAGTTGGGATGTTCATCCCAGATACGATAACCTATTCAGATAAAGGTAAAGAGAAAATCTATCCCTCCACTACTGGGTCATAAGAGATCTATGTGACATCTTCAAAGTTAGTAAGGGCAGTGAAGATTTCCTCTACTGTTCTGGGTTCTTTTGGCTAGTCTAATGATTATATCTACGTGAGACAGGTAAGAAGAGAACATAGCCAAATTTAATTAGATAAGCGCGTATAGCAACCCACATA